AATTGTAGTTCCTATAAGAGCACCGTGAACTCYACTAACAATGGATCTGGAGCAAACTTGCCACGGATGATGGGATTTGCAGTACCTTCAGTCTTTTCCAGAGACTACTGTGACCCCCTCAAAAGACGAACCTGGACCAAACTTAGTATACAAACCCCCTATGACCAATCTCACATCCTGGTGAAGTTTGGGGGAGGATGGACCATGGATGATGGGATTTGCAGTACCGTCACTCACTTCCAGAGACCACTGTGACTCCCACAAATGTTGTACCTGGAACAAACTTACTACACAAACCCCCTATGACCAATCTCACATCCTGGTGATGTTTGGGGGAGGATGGACCATGGATAATGGGATTTGCAGTACCTTCACTCACTTCAAGAGACCACTGTGACCCCCACGAATGTTGGACATGGACCACACTTGGCACACAAACTCCCCATGACCAACAGAACATACTGGAGAAGTTTGGGGGAAACTGACCTTGATATATGGGAGTTATAGTTCACATGTATCCAGAGAAACTGTGACCTTCACCGACAATGGACTGGAACCAAACTTGGCACAGAGAAGCCCCATGAGCAACTGAACATACTGCAAGTTTTTGTGGTAATTGACCTTGATATTGGGAGTTGTAGTTCAACCTCCTCCAGTGAGCACTGAGCCCAGCTAACATCGAATCTGCACCAAACTTGGCACACAGACCCAACATGGCCTACTGTGCATACAGGTGGGGTTGGGGGTTATTATTCTTCGCATATGGGAGTTGTAGTTCACCCTTATCCAGAGAACACTGAACCAAGCCAACACCGGATCTGGACCAAAAGTGGTACACAGACCCAACATGGCTAACTATGCATACAGGCGAGGTTTGGGGGTGAGTGACTTTGGAATATGGGAGTTGTAGTTCATCCTTCTTCAGAGAGCACTGAACCCAGCCAAAATGGATCTGGGCCAAACTTGGCATACAAACTCAAAGTGGTCAACTGTGCATACAGGCAGAGTTTGGGGAGGATTGACCCACAATTTTGGGAATAGTAGGTGTTCTGTTCACCCACATCTTTTTGCATTTCCTAATGGGAGTGTTTATAAAAAAAAAAAAAAAGCAAAGATTGAGCTTTTTGTGTAAGAATAGTGTTATAAATGACCTAAGTGATATGATCTAACATCCACAAGCAAACAATGCCTTTTTCAAATAACCTGGGCATCACTGAGTACCCAAGCTAGTAATAATAATAAAGATAATAATAAAGATCATGAAATACAGGGACTTATACATTGAAATGGGACGACTATGGCAAAGGAGAACAACAGCGCTGCCAATAAGTAGTTGGTGAGCTTGGAGGCATCCCAACAAATCTTGAAAAGCACTTGAAAAGCCTTAGTTTGGACAGAACATCAATGCATATGCTGCAGAAGACAACACTTCTTGGAATTGCACACATTCTACAAAAAACAATACCTCTAATATCCTGGGCCCTTGGGAAGATCCCAATATTCAGAGACAATTCCCAGACACTTGGACCTCATGTGCATGTGTGATGTTGTTATGTACATGTACATAATAAAAATAACAAAAATAATGATAAAAAATAAATTTTATCATATAATAATACAACAATAAAGATAATAATAAAGATAATAATATGATATAATAAAATAATAATTATATTTTTTTTTCATTTATTTGCCATACTTATACCCTGCCCTTCTCTACCCCGACAGGGGGACTCAAGGCAGCTAAATAGAATATAGTAATAATTGGATATAATAATAGATAATAATAATAATATAATAATAAATTATAAAAATAAAAAGAATATAATATAATAAATATAACATAAGAATAATATAACAAAAATAATAATAAAAGAATAATGTAATAAAATAATAATAAAGTAATATAATGATCATATATTATATTTATTATTATATTATATTAATAATATTATTTATTTATATATTATTATTAATAATAATAATAATAATAATGACTCTAAACTGGAAGGTGTCCAGAGGAGGGCAAGTAAAAGGATAAAGGTCTGGAGACCATGAATAATTCCTATGAGGAGTGACTTAACGAGCTGGGATGTTTAGCCTGCAAAAGAGAAGGTTGAGAGGAGACATGAGAGCCATATATAAGTATCTGAAAGGGTGTCCTAAGGAAGAGGAAGCAGGTTGGTTTTCAAGGGACTCAATAGTGCCATGGGTTCAAATACAGGAAAGGAGGTTCAATTGAACAATAGGAACATAAGGAGAGCTGTTCAGCAGTGGAACTCACTGCTTCGGAGTTTGGTGGAAGCTCTTTCCTTGGAAGCTTTTAAACAGAGGCTGGATGGCCATCTCTCCGGGGGGGCTTTGATTGTGCTTTTCCTGCATGGAAGCGGGTTGGACTAGATGGCCAGTGTGGTCTCTTCCAACTCTACGATTCTATGATTCCATGACACCCATGGCCAAGCGGGGATTTGAACCTGGACTCTCCACTGTATTGGCCAATAATGCATTTTTATGATCCCAAGGGGAACGTAAGCCCAGCGGATACAAGGGATGCCTCCTCCAATGGATACAGGGATTGTATGCCCAGCAGATAAGAAGAACGCATCCCCTGTGGATATGGGGAACACCTCTTCAGCGGATACGGGGATCATTATGTCCACTTGATACTAGTGGATAAGGAGACTATATATGCTGTATATTATAATTATCATCATCATCATCATCATTATTATTGCACTGTTGTGAGTTTTCTGGGCATCATGGCCATGTTCCAGTAGCATTCTCTCCTGATGTTTCACCTGCATCTGTGGCTAATGGCATCTTCAGAGGTCTGTTAGAAATGAGGCAAGTGGGGTGTCTGTTTGAAGCAAGTATTGCACTGAGTAGCCATGAAGTTTGCAAAGTCAATCAGTGAGGGTCTCTGCGTAGAGGTAGTGAAGCAAGTGGAGTGTATATATCCCTACCCACATATCATAGCTATTCAATGCTATTCAAGCTGGCGAATTGCAACATTCACACTTGCTTCAAACAGACAAGGGTTCTTTCTCCCACCCTGGACATTATTCCACAGGGATATATACACTCCACTTGTCTCATTTCCAACAAAACCTCTGAAGATGCCATTAGCCACATATACAGGCAAAATGTCAGGAGAGGATGCTACTGGAACATAGCCATACAGCCCGAAATAACTCACAGCAACCCAGTGATTCCGGCCATGAAAGCCTTTAAGGACACATTATTATTATTATTATTATTATTATTATTATTAGTCCAGTGGATAGGAGCCCCCGGTGGCGCAGTGGGTTAAAGCCCTGTGCTGGCAGGACTGAAGACTGACAGGTCGTGGGTTCGAATCCCGGGAAAGGCGGATGAGCTCCTTCTATCAGCTCCAGCTCCTCATGTGGGGACAAGAGAGAAGCCTCCCACAAGGATGACAAAACATCAGAAATCATCCGGGCGTCCCCTGGGCAACGTCCTTGCAGACGGCCAATTCTCTCACAACAGGAGCGGCTGCTCCTGACACGACAAAAAAAAAAAAGTCCAGTGGATAAGGGTAACATACCCTCCTTATGGATAAGTGGAATACATGCCCAACAAATAAGGGAAACATAACAAAGAACATACACCCAACAGGTGAGGGGAAAGTATGTACAGTGGATGTGCGGGGAACATATGCTCTTGGATGCAGGAACATATGTCCTGAGGATATGGGAAACTTACGTCCACTGGATAAGAGAAATGAATTAATGGGTTGCTGTGCGTTTTTCTAGCTGTATGGCCATGTTCCAGTAGCATTTTCTCCTGACGTTTTGCCTGCATTTGTGGCTAATGACATCTTCAAAGTCTGTTAGAGGCGAGGTAAATGTACATATATTTCTTTGGAATGATGTCCAGGGTGGGAGAAAGAACCCTTATCTGTTGAAGCAAGTGTGGATGTTGCAATGAGCAAGCTAGAATAGCACTGAGTAGTCATGAAGCTGCAAAGTCAATCAGTGAGGGTCTCTGCATAGAGGTAGTGAAGCAAGCAGAGTGTATATGTATCCCATGTATCCCTGTGGAATGATGTCCAGGGTAGGAGAGAGAACCCTTGTCTGTTTAAAGCAAGTGTGAATGCAATGATCAAGCTTGAATAGCACTGAATAGCCATGAAGCTGAAAAGTCAATCAGTGAGGGTCTCAGCATAGAGGTAGTGAAGCAAGCAGAGTGTATATATCCCTGTGGAATGATGTCCAGGGTGGGAGAAAGAACCCTTGTCTGTTGAAGCAAGTGTGGATGTTGCAATGAGAAAGCTTGAATAGCCACGGAGCGACAGTCAATCAGTGAGGGTCTCTGCATAGAGGTAGCCTGGCCTCTGTTGCCTGGAGGCATCCTCTGTGAGTGCAGAAACTCTCTCACTGATTGACTATGAGTGCGGCGAATGTATGCCCAATGGATGCAAGCCACAAAACCCATATTGATATAGGAAACCGGTTTAGTGGATATGGCGAATCCATCCCCCATGGATATGGGAAACATATCCAACCGATAAAGTGAACGCATCCCTTCTTGGGTAACGTATCCCCATTGGACATGGGGAAACACATGCCATATGGATACATGGAAAATATATGGGCGACTGAATCCCTGTGGATACGGAGTAGACACGCCTAGCGGATAAAGGGGGAAACAGACAAAGTGGCCCTATTGGTAATCGTCAATAAATCCAACTTGATCACCTCTGGCTTTGCAATATGGCAAATAAGTGATCAGAAGGCTGAAAATGCGCAGTGCCTTCAGTGGCGTTCACAAAGGTGAGTTAGGTGTTGGATGTACTGGGCGTGTTTTGATGTCCACTCGCCCACCCAAAAGGCAACATCAACAAATACGATGCTGAGCCGATAAACTTTGGCTGAGCCTATTGCCGCCTTTGCCAGTCATCCAACAGGTGCACTGGAGTGTGCAAGAACACCGCGCCGGGAGATAACATGGCAACCTTTACCTGCCACTGAGAGACTTACCTTAGGTAACGGAGAGGCTGGATCTCCTCTTTGCTGTGGGATGAATTGAGCATGGTTTGGGTGCAAGGAGACCTTTGGGGAGTCTCTTGGTGCCGTCTGCCTGTAAGGAAAGCCTCCTCTGGTGCCTTTCGTTAGAGGGAATCGCAAGAGAAATAATCAACGCAGGAGGGGGGCACCAGCTCTTGGTTGGCACTGTGGGCGCAAAGGAAGCGATTGGCTTGATTGGCTTATTCCTCCTCCTCGGAGAGACCAAAAGCACCCAAGTGGGGGGCATTCCCCGTCACCCAATGAGAAGGCAGAGGTGGGCTGCAGAGAGGGGGGTGAACCCCTTTAAAGAGGCAGACAGAGGTCAAGCTCAACCAACTGTGAAATTGGGGGCTCGGCGGGGATGCCTTCTCTGGAGGAAAAAAAACAGCCAAGATGCAAAAGACCATCTTACGCCAGACGGCGGGTTTATTCCTCTCCTTGGTTGCCATGGCCGTTGCTATATTGCTATATTTTATTGTAAAGGATAAGAATCAGGCAACAGGTAGCCATAGAGAGAAGGAAGGAAGGAAAGAAGGAAGGAAGGAAGATAAAAGCAAGGGAACTGAGAGCTGCGTACATATAGGAAGATGTGACTGCCTTCGACAGAATGGATTTGGGAAGGATGGGAAACAGATAGGACGCTTTCGATCCCAAAGTGAAGTGACAGAAAACGGATTGGAAGGAAAGACAGCAAAGAAGAAAGGGGAAAAGGAAACAGGGAGGGAAGAGAGGACATCGGAAAGGCAAGGAAGGAAGGAAGGAAGGAAGGAAGGAGAAGGAAGGAAGGATGGGATGGAAAGAGGGGAAGAAACAAAAGAAAGAAAACTAGAAAGACAGAAGGCGAGGAAGGAAGAAATAAAACTGGAAAGGCAAAAAGGGAAGGAGGGAAAATTTGAAAGAAAAGGAGGGAAATCTAAGAAGACAAGGAGGGAGGGAGGGGGGAGGGAGGGAGGAAGGGAAAAAGGGAAAAGGGAAGGGAAGAAGGTAGGATGGATGGATTGATGGATGGAAGGAAGGAAGGAGGAAGAAGGAAGAAGGAAGGGAGGAAGGGTGGAAGGGAGGGAAGAAGGAAGAAAAGAAGGAAGGAAGGAAGGAAGGAAGGAAAGTAGGGAAAGGAAGGAAGGAAGGAAGGAAGGAAGGAAGGAAGGAAGAAGGAAGGGAGGGAAAAAGGAAGGGAAGAAGGTAAGTAGGATGGATGGAAGGAAGGAAGGAAGGAAGGAAGGAAGGAAGGAAGGAAGGAAGGAAGGAGGAAGGAAAGGAAGGAAGGAAGGAAGGAAGGAAGGAAGGGAGAAGGAAGGAAGGGAAGAAAGGGAAGGGAAGAAGGAAAGAAAGGAAGGAAGGAAGGAAAGGAAGGAAGAAAGGAAGGAAGGAAGGGGAAGGAAGAGAAGAAAGGAAGGAAGGAAGGAAGAAAGGAAGAAGGAAGAAGGAAGGGAAGGAAAGGAAGGAAGGAAGGAAGGAAGGAGGAAGGAAGGAAGGAAGGAAGGAAGGAAGGAAGGAAGGAGGGTTGTCTTCTTTCCCTCCAGGTTTGACAGCTGCCTCTTTCTTTATTACTACCATTCCTTCAAAGTGCAGAGTGTACATTCATCACCGATAGGAATACATCCCAAAGAGCAGTGTTTCTGAAAGTGCAAACCGGTTGCAAATAATGCCGCAAAAAAGCAATGGGAGTGATAGTCCAACAACTCTCTCAATTTGGAAAGGCTGCTCTTATCATACAGAATAGAAGAGCCGGAAAGAGGACAGGGAACGGTCCTAAATATATAGAGAGCGAATTCTGTGGGTCCAAATCTCTACCAGAGAGGGAGGTTCCCTGCAGAAAAAGTCCCCGTCCTTACAGCCATTCCTTTGGGAAAGCAGCTTCTGCAAGCACAAGGAAAGCAAAGTCCAGCCCCCATTGCCCAAAGTCCAGCTTCGGGGACGATCAGCTCGACCGATCCCCATATTTCAACGAGTGGGGTGACGCTCTCCCCGTACTCAGTTCACAGTCCTGGGTCCAAACCACCTTTTCAGACCCTCGTCTCTTGGACGTTTTTATCCTCCAGGAATCGCAAGATTCTGCGCCAAGGTCCGGGTGCCATTTCAGGGCGGTCAGCGGTTGGAGCGCCATCACTTTGTTCTTTGGCAAAGTGGACAAACACCTTGAAATGGGGGGAAAGAAGAGACATTAGTGTCCTTACATATCCCGTCTCCTCCAATATGCCTCCTAGCTAGGGCTTACCTGGTCGAGGGTAGTCTGTGAGACGGAATAGTCCTCAATGCGGTAGTCACCCCGGTGGGCCGCGAGGATGCCGAAGATCCTCGCCAGAGAGCAACTGCCAGACGGCAGCTGGTATTGGAGTGTGCAATGGTGCTTCTCTTTGAGGACCACCCCAGGGAAAGAGTCTTGGATCAAGGTCTCCAAGGGAGCCGTTTCCGAGTCTGAGACCCGGAGAATAATAGTGTATCCATCACCAAACCTAGACAGAATGGGGAAGAGGACGATTCCAGATTAAGCCTCCAAATTGAAATGAAATAATAATAATAATAATAATAATAATAATAATAATAATAATGTTTTCTGCCCTATCTCCCCAAGGGGACTCAGGGCGGCAAACATTCAATACCTACATAAAACAAACAAACGCTGTCATAAAATCCCAGAAAAAACCCCCCCTTATGAAAATAACATTAAAACCTAACATCAAATTCAAGCCTAACATCAAATTCAAGCCTAACATCAGTAAATTAAACCTAACATCAATAAATTAAACTACACGTAATCAGACAAAATTATATAATAACATAAACTCTAAACAAAACATCCACATTAATCTGCAACAGCCAGCAGAGGTTCACAAGTATAGTACATTTGGCCCAGCGACAATGTCATAAATATGGTGTAGAAATAATATTTATAATAAAATTCATCAAAATATTCACAAAAATATTCATGAAAGTATTCACAAAAATATTATTAAAATAATAACAAAAATATTCACAAAATTAGTCGCAAAAATTTTCACAAAAATAATCATGAAAATATTCACAAAAATATTCATAATCATATTCACAAAAATAATCACATATAATATGTACAGGAAGATATTCACAAAACATGATCACAAAATAATCATGAAACTATTCACAAAATAATTAAAATATTCACAAAAATAATCATTAAAAATTCAGAATTATTGACAAAATAATCATAAAAATATTTTTACAAAAATATTCACAAAAATAATGAAAATATTCACAAAACTCATCATGAAACTTCACAAAAATATTCACAAAAATATTTGCAAAAAAGTTCAGATATTAATTGTAAAAATATTCTCAAAAATAATCACAAAAATATTTGCATAAACAATATTTGCATAAAATATATACACAAAAATATACACAAAATGTATTCACAAAAATAATCATGAAAATATTCACAAAATGACATAAATTCACAAAAATAATGAAAATAGTCACAAAAATATCACAAAAGTATTCGCAAAAATATTTGGAAACATATTCATGAAAATAGTCACAAAACAATCGTGAAAACATTAGCAAAAATATTCGTGAAAATATTCACAAAAATAATCATAAAACTATATAGAAAAATATTCTCAATATTCATAAAATTTATATCTCGCCCTATCTCCCCGTGGGGACTCAGGGCACTTTCCATCAAACAATGCCATTCAATGCCATAATAACAAAGACATTAACCATTAAATGATATTATAAAAATTCAATTTCCACACCTAAACATTAAAAAAGATGAATACTTAGGATTCAAACTATTAACAATATAAAATTGAAAAGCCAACCTAGCCAGAATAGAATCGGTTTGAATGGAATTGTATCGAAGGTTGGGGTCTATAGGGGATAGGGATGCCATCCTAAGACGAAGCCTGGAAAACTACAAAGTGATGAACTGTAATTAAAAAGTTGCTGAACTGCTGACACTGATTATGAGAGATAAATGATTAACTCTGTGGTGGCAAACAACATGTTTACATCACCAAAGACCATGACTCTTTTAACGAAGGAAGTGCTTACAATGGTTCCTTATGATAAGAAGTAAAACCAATTATCATTTAAGGTAGAAAAACTAGCCTCTGTTCAGGAACTGATGGAGTCAGGATGTCTTAGCTGGAAAACAACTTGTCGTTCATTTTCAACTTTTGGTGCAACATCAGCAGGAACATTGCTAGATAACAGACCTTACTACAATCCAAAAATTGTGGCAGACAGTGGAGTCTAGTCCACCTGCCATCTTCTCTAAGGGATGGAGGAAGATGGTATATTTGCAGAATGGCAGATTTGCTGGGAACGCAATCTGGCTACTTTGGGGTCTCTTTTTCAGGAGAAGAAATGGTAATGTATGCATGAGGATGAGTGAATGTTTATATGTGTGTGATTGTTGAGTGAAAACGTAATTCCCCTTGTTTGTGTACCCAATGTAATAGTTACAGTCTGTATGTGACTACTTTCTTTCTCTGTATTGCTCTGTGATATCCTCTGTTTCAATGCAAGCAAAATAAAATAACCTTTTAATACTTTTTAAAGTTTGAAAAGTATTTATGACAACACCATACAGTCTGGAGGACCAAGAGAATACCTAAGGAGTGGTATTATTTGCATAAAGCTGAGAGCCGTTTTTGGGGTAGAGAATTTCTTACATGGACGATGCCATATCAAGCTCAACCTTACCTGTTCTTCAAATGTTGCACACTCCCAAGGCACCGGAAACGTCCGTTCACCATGATGGCCATTCGGGTGCACAATGCTTCACACTCTTCCATGCTAACAGGTGAAAAAGAAGAGAGATATCCTCTAGGGCCTCCAGGGCAACGTTCTGCTCACTCATTCACGGCATGAGAAATAAGGGCCACTGTACGGAAGTTTGAGCAGTCTTTCGCATTTCCCTTTTTTGGTATGGGGATATAAGTTGATTTTTTTCCAGTCTGATGGCCATTCTTGTGTTTTCCATATTTGCTGGCAGATGGCATGCATCACCTTGACAGCATCATCTTTTAAGATTTTAAACAGTTCAGCTGGGATCCCGTCATCTCCTGCTGCCTTGTTGTTAGCAATGCTTCTTAAGGCCCATTCAACCTCACTCCTCAGGATGTCTGGTTCTAATTCATTCACCACACCGTCAAAACTATCCTCAATATTATTATCCTTCCTATACAGATCTTCTGTATAGTCTCGCCACCTTCTCTTGATCTCCTCAGCTTCTGTTAGGTCCCTGCCATCTTTGTTTC